TAAGAAAAGGGGGAGGGAGTCCTGTTACAGATTAGAACTCCAGGGATGAGTGACTTCCATTCATTCAAAGGTTGGTACAGACACCGTCCACTAAAAACTGCTGGAATCCATTAAAAATATAAACATTTATACTAACACCAACCTTGTAGCGATGGCTTTTGTGAACACTATCCTGGAAGCAGTCCATGCACAGGACACAAGTGGGATCAATCGCACAATCCCTGCAAGAAGTGGAAGACATGTATTTTTTTACTTGGCAGAAAAACAAAAGTCTAACACTAAAGAGTGCTATACTCTAGGTCAGGTGTGTCAAACATACAGTGGGGCAAAAAAGTATTTAGTCAGCCACCGATTGTGCAAGTTCCCCACTTAAAATGATGACAGAGGTCAGTAATTTGCACCAGAGGTACACTTCAACTGTGAGAGACAGAATGTGAAAAAAAAAAATCCATGAATCCACATGGTAGGATTTGTAAAGAATTTATTCGTAAATCAGGGTGGAAAATAAGTATTTGGTCAATAACAAAATACAACTCAATACTTTGTAACATAACCTTTGTTGGCAATAACAGAGGTCAAATGTTTACTATAGGTCTTTACCAGGTTTGCACACACAGTAGCTGGTATTTTGGCCCATTCCTCCATGCAGATCTTCTCGAGAGCAGTGATGTTTTGGGGCTGTCGCCGAGCAACACGGACTTTCAACTCCCGCCACAGATTTTCTATGGGTTGAGGTCTGGAGACTGGCTAGGCCACTCCAGGACTTTCAAATGCTTCTTACGGAGCCACTCCTTTGTTGCCCGGGCGGTGTGTTTTGGATCATTGTCATGTTGGAAGACCCAGCCTCGTTTCATCTTCAAAGTTCTCACTGATGGAAGGAGGTTTTGGCTCAAAATCTCACGATACATGGCCCCATTCATTCTGTCCTTAACACGGATCAGTCGTCCTGTCCCCTTGGCAGAAAAACAGCCCCATAGCATGATGTTTCCACCCCCATGCTTCACAGTAGGTATGGTGTTCTTGGGATGCAACTCAGTATTCTTCTTCCTCCAAACACGACGAGTTGAGTTTATACCAAAAGTTCTACTTTGGTTTCATCTGACCACATGACATTCTCCCAATCCTCTGCTGTATCATCCATGTGCTCTCTGGCAAACTTCAGACGGGCCTGGACATGCACTGGCTTCAGCAGCGGAACACGTCTGGCACTGCGGGATTTGATTCCCTGCCGTTGTAGTGTGTTACTGATGGTGACCTTTGTTACTTTGGTCCCAGCTCTCTGCAGGTCATTCACCAGGTCCCCCCGTGTGGTTCTGGGATCTTTGCTCACCGTTCTCATGATCATTTTGACCCCACGGGATGAGATCTTGCGTGGAGCCCCAGATCGAGGGAGATTATCAGTGGTCTTGTATGTCTTCCATTTTCTGATGATTGCTCCCACAGTTGATTTTTTCACACCAAGCTGCTTGCCTATTATAGATTCACTCTTCCCAGTCTGGTGCAGGTCTACAATACTTTTCCTGGTGTCCTTCGAAAGCTCTTTGGTCTTGGCCATGGCGGAGTTTGGAGTCTGACTGTTTGAGGCTGTGGACAGGTGTCTTTTATACAGATGATGAGTTCAAACAGGTGCCATTCATACAGGTAACGAGTGGGGGACAGAAAAGCTTCTTACAGAAGACGTTACAGGTCTGTGAGAGCCAGAGATTTTCCTTGTTTGAGGTGACCAAATACTTATTTTCCACCCTGATTTACGAATAAATTCTTTACAAATCCTACCATGTGGATTCATGGATTTTTTTTTCACATTCTGTCTCTCACAGTTGAAGTGTACCTCTGGTGCAAATTACTGACCTCTGTCATCATTTTAAGTGGGGGAACTTGCACAATCGGTGGCTGACTAAATACTTTTTTGCCCCACTGTAAGGCACAGGGGCCAAAATCGGCCAGGCAAACAAACCAATCCGGCCCACTGGACAACTTCGTTTTATAGCTTTTACTAATGATAATGATAATCTGGGGATTAAATGTGTAATTAAACTTCTTTATACCAATAAAAAGGGGGTCTTTATTTGGTCCGGTCCATTTCAGATCAAAGAAAGTTCTATGTGACCCAAAATGTAAAATGAGTTTGATATAAACTAAGCTGCTTGCCAAGTGTTCTCGCTTTTAGTCATTTACTTTGATATAAACATCTATAGTGCCTATTTTAATTCAGACCCCATAAAATTGAATATTTTACCACAGCTTTCCTGTAGAAACTTAGTAATTACAGGGATTTAGAACAGCTGTTCAGACCTGCAGGAGTAGACCGTTTCGCCCTCTTTAAACACACGTCCACAGAGGTGGGACGAGGTACTCCCCTCCTTGAGCTTTTCCAAACCCTCTTGAGGATCCTCTCCAAAAAGGAAACACTCCAGAGGGTGCAGGAGACGGCTCTGCATGAGCTCCTCCTCTTCCTGAGGGCTGGAGTCTTTTAGGCAGAAGATCTGAGGCACCTGCTCCTTCAAGTAGGAGAGCAGTGCTGCTCTGCTGTCTGCTGCCTCCTGCCATTCCTGTGAGACAAAAGAGAAGAGCTTTACATCCTTGCTTTCTACCTTCTAACACAAATCTGCATGAACTCGCCATAGTAACGATGTGCAGATAAATGTTTCCTTTTAGTAATGCATTATGCCCAAAAAAACAAATCTGTCTTCTGAGGATCCTGACTTCTTCATGAAGGCAGAAGTGCACACCATGTTAAGTGCCGATAAAAATAAAAAAATAAAAAAAAAAGGTTAGATCTAGATTAATCCATATTTAGTAATTGATGACTAATTTTTTCAGTCCTCGATTTGTAATGCAACTGTAGACTCTACATTAGCCTACAAATCTAAATAAACAGCATAGTATAAATAACCTTGTGCTGTGTGATTAATCTGTTCTTCTGCTTGGCCTTCAGCCCAATCATAAAGTAGACCGTATGCAAACAGGAGAGCGCCACGAGGAGCCGTTCGAGTTGCACATGAGATAAAACGGTTTGTTTAATTCACATGAAGGGTAGAATTATATTTCCGTTTGTCAACAGCAGTTTGGTAAATGGCCTGCAGTTGCATTATCATTACTCTGAAGACAAACTGAAGTGGACTAAACATAACTGTTCCTGAGAGGAATTATTTACAGTGGTTTAACTAATCATTCCAGACTTCAGAAGGATGGAATAGACTGGAAATGTGCAAATTTCCATATCAGACAGATGACTTCATTTAAAATGAATGGACTAACGCGAGATGTCAATTGGTCAGCTTTCTTAAACTTTTTTATATATGTGGAAAAATAGTCTCAAATTTTTCTTCTTTTTACAGTTGACAGTGAAAGCAAAAGCTCAAGTTTTCGTTTTAAAAGTAATTCAGCAGTCAGGGAGTGCAACCATTTAGGCATTTAAAATAAGCTTTATATTGAAATTATATTGAAATTGACATTAAACATACTGCTTCTACTTTTTTATTTGCATTGCTTTCCTGCTGTGTGCTTCCAGTGATGTGATTGTTTGCCTACTACTTGTCAACTACACAAGAACAAACATTCATAGGGGACAGATTGATTTTTTTCAACATACATACAAAGACTCAAGCTAAAAACTGAAAAAATAAATAAAAACACTGATATTAATAAAACACATAATTCTGTACACAATTATATTGCTCTTTTCATGGTTACTGACTCACTACACCTTCCTACACTTTATTATTCTAAATTTATTTTGACACAAGGAAAAAAACTGATAAAGCATAGAATAATCTAAATTTATAGGCATAATCTTTCTCTGATTTTCTATAACCATATAACAATAACATTCATTCTTCTGGGCACTGTAATAGTTTCGTCAGAATATCATATAATGTATTGACAGAAAGGATTCTGCCAAAAAATGCCTTCCGGTATTTAAACTGCTGTAAAAGATTTGCTGGCCTTTAGTCTGTCAAACAAATCTCATGAATTATATGAAGTCATTCTGAGTCAGAAAGTATATTCCTGTCACAAGGAATAAAGTGCAACGAGTTTTTTACAATTAACTTTTATTTATCTTTTATTCATCCAGGTAAAATTATCATTTAAATTACAAATGTGTAAAAGAGATCTCTTTATACATATTTAGATATAGATAAATAGATATAGATAAGCCCTTCATAAATCCTGTTGACTACAGCCTATTTACCAACAGAAACAAGGATATGACATCGGTAATCTGGTGAGCTGTTCTTCAGTATGATTATTCAATGGTACTGGTGCGTGCAGTGCTTTTGCAGTACTACACTCTTAATGTAGTTACTCAGACTGCACAAGGCATCACATTGTTTTCATATTTGTTGGAGTTGATATAATAAGACTGGATAGACAACATTTCTGAAACAAATCCATCGCTGCTGCTGAGCCCAGTTTCTCTTTCACACTGACCGACATGGCCGATGTTAATGATAGACGTAATGCAGCAAGAGCCCGAGGTTTGAAGACAGCCAGGGCGTTGATGCTGCAAAGTGTGTAAACTCATGGCAACTCATGGACAAAAGCGACTACCAAGATATCACAGGATGCAGCAGACGGAGGAAGACACATGCCGTGTTTTCTCTGTCGTTGGTGTCTACTCAGCCAAGTCTATCGAACCACTGACGCAGGGCAATAAAAATATTGCACTTAACCATTGCATTATTGACGGTAGTTAGGCAGCTAGCCTACAGCTAGCCGCAAGTGCTAGCTTGGGAAGTATGATAGCCTTTCACTGAGTGTTCGAATCGTATTGCTCAGAGGAATTAACACACTACACTTCACTGTTCTGTCCGAGCCCTTCGGTCACTACTGTCAGTTATATTAGCCAACTTAAAAAAAATCATACCTTGCTGAGCTCTAGTCCGTCTAGGTTTTCCTCACTCTCCGCCATATTCCATTTGCCGTAAAGGAGGAGGTGTCGCTAGGAGACTGTTCTTACGACCAGAACCTTTCGCCGATGCTGGTGCTGTATGAGCCCAGCCACTAGACGGCGCCGGTCGAGATTGCTCCGTACACGGCGGGGCTGGAGGTCAGAGTTGAACGTTTGACAGAAAGCTGAACATGGATTCCATATTTCACGAGAAAGTAAGTTAAAAATATATATCTCAAAGTATTCATGGCCACACTGTTGGTCGTCTTTATTCGGGAATGTTCTGGACTCGTGACTGCACTTTGTTTACCAGGATTATGTAGCTGTTACGATATATGGGGTAATGTTTAGCAGTATTGTTGTCCAGACAGCTAAAATGCTAACTCACTTGCTAATATGAGATGTTGAAAAGTTTCCATTCAGCTTGTAGAATCAACGCAGAAGGCGTCTTTACTTCCGCAGTCGTGTTATTTTTCTCATTTTTAGCAAAAGGATTAACTTAATATAGCAATCTTTTGTTACAGAGGACCAATAAGATCAGTTGTGTTTGTTGTTTACGTAGTTTAGCTAGCTCTGTGTTGGTTCCAGTTACTGATGCGAGAACAAATTATGAAATCGATTATTTCACCTTCATAAAGCTACCAAAGTTGTTGCGGACCCCTTAAAATCATACTGCCGGGTGAGTAACAAAACCATTTAACAATACCGATTCTTAATTTGCAGCAAGAGGGCTCCCTTTGCGCCCAGCACTGTCTTAACAACCTGCTACAAGGAGAGTATTTCACTCCTGTGGATCTATCCTCAATTGCTCATCAGCTCGATGAAGAGGAGAGAATGAGGATGGCAGAGGGAGGTATGGCCAGCGAGGAGTACAGGACCTTCTTACAGGTGATTAGAGACAGAGCGGAAAATAAATACCTCATCAGCATATCTATGGATGTTATGCACAGTTACGTCATTTTTCTTATTGTACTCAATCTATGTTTATAGCAACCATCAGGAAACATGGACGACAGTGGGTTCTTTTCCATACAAGTGAGTTTTAAAAATTCACTCTTTATAAGAACGTATTTCTTTTAATAAGTAAGTTACATTTTGTTTTGTTTTTTTTTTTGTTTTATGATTGTTTTTTGGGTTTTCGTAGGTAATTAGCAATGCTCTTCGAGTGTGGGGCTTGGAGCTAATCCTCTTCAACAGCCGCGAGTACCAGAGCCTGATGATAAATCCAATGTAAAGCTCTCAGTTAGGATTATATTATGTAACAGCAAATTTGTATGTACATTTTAAGTTGATTTTGACTTCAATGTTTCAGAAATGAAAAAGCCTTCATTTGCAACTACAAGGAGCACTGGTTCACTATACGCAAACTTGGACAACAGGTACGAGGTACATGTTTTCATGAATGATATTAATGCAGCTTCCTTTACTAAAGTTTTTCATTCTATTTTCATTCCAGTGGTTTAACTTGAATTCCCTTTTGACTGGACCAGAATTGATATCAGACACCTATCTAGCCCTTTTCCTTGCACAGTTACAACAAGAAGGTATTGAAAAAAACAACTTTCATTCACTTGTTTAGATGTTGCACTACAGAAAAGATTACAGCAATTTATTTGTGCAGGGTATTCCATATTTGTGATCCGAGGAAACCTTCCCGAGTGCGAAGCAGAGCAGATTCTTGGAATCATGAGGGTCCAGCAGCAGCAGCGGCCCAGACTGATTGGAGAAGAGGAGGCCCAGACTAGTTCAGGGTATGTATGTGTAGCCTGTGTGATATGGAGGACCCAGGAGATGCTCATGAAGGAGTCACATACATTTTGTTTTGTACTGCTTAAAAGAAACTTGTGACTTACCTTTGACAACTGATTTAGTTGTTCTCTAACAGCAGCAGGTCAGTTGCTCTGGGCCAATCAGAGATGGCCTTTGGTGTGGAGGATGAAGTTGTGGATGAAGATGAAGAACTGAAGAGAGCTTTAGCACTCAGTAGACAGGACATAGATGTGGAAGATGAAGAAGCTGATCTTCGCAGGGCCATACAGCTCAGTATGCAAGGTACAGTATAGGTCATCTAAAAGTTTAAAAAATGTTGTATTGTTGTAATTGTAGTTTACAAGAAAAGAGACTACAAAATAGCACTGTAAAGTAAAATTTCTATAGTGATAGTTAATTTTTATCTATAAAAAATTCTGATTAGCACTAACATTGCTTTAAGTAATATGCATGCATATGCAGTATGGATATCTATTTTTCCATATTACAGGAGCAGTTATGAGCAACAAGTCTTCAGAGTGTGGAGTGGGAAATGTAAAATCAGGGAGCCAGGCAGCAGGAAGTGCTGCAAGAGAACAGAGAGAAGGCCAGAATGAGACACTTACAGCTGAGGAACTGAGGAAGAGAAGACAAGCCTACTTCGATCGGTAAGTTTAACTAAAACACTCCTGCAATGACAACTGCATATCGCACCTTCTTTTCAAAGTATACCGAGAAAGTATTGCATGGATTTTGATATAAGTCCACTGTGTTTACTGTTCAGGCAGCAGCAACAAACTCAGACAAACATTCCTCAACCAAAAGATACTCAACCAACTGGAAGCTCAGGTCAGCAAATCTTTTTTTTGAATGTAAATATAATACATACTTTGTGATTTATTTAATATTCTACTCAATTTAATGGAATCTAGTAACACAAGCCCACTTGCTTTTACTAGGTTCAGTAAACGCTGGCTCTGAAGGGGACCAACAACCAAAACCCAGCCAGTGAAGTTGTGGAAGGTTTGCCTGTATTGTTTACCAGCTGCCTGGATTGGCAACCCGGTACAGGGTTAGCTTTTCTCCCTCCTCTAACCTTTTGCACATGCGGACCTGAGGACAGTCAGAAGGCTGACAGTTTACCCCTGGTTAGTTCACTGACTATAAAGGCTATAAAGAAGAGGCAGCACTTAATCCGGCTCAGTGAAGTACTGAGATGGGGAAAAGATTGACGAGACTCATGATGCAGTTAATCCAAGTTTGCAATTGCCTTTTTAACCATGGCGCCTTCTCTTTCTATTGTATACACTTTTGTATTCTTTTTTTTGGCTTTTTTTTTTGGCTTTTTTGTTTGTTTGTTTGTTTGTTTGTTTGTTTGTTTGTTTGTTTGTTTGTTTGTGTGAAAAACGGGCTACCCCTGAATATCACAGAAAGGGTGTGTTTTGTTATTTTGTGATGATGACATGTTGACACAGGCATTCTATGAAAGCCATATGAGACCAATGCTTTGGACCATAGATAAAAGCTTTTAAAGCTCTTTTCACCTATGGGATATATAATATTGCTGGCTTCATCAGTATGTTAAAAACGATGCTGTTGTGTCATTCAGAGAAAGGTCACTTTTACATTAATGTTTCTCACTGCTTCATTCAGACATGACCACAACAGAGACACAGAGAAACGCAGTATGCGCGTGATATTTGGCATATTGTCAGCACTGACTCTAGTGAAGTGTCATCATATCCTTGAATATATGTTCTTCAGCTACAGAGCAGGATCTGTGTATGTGTGTGTGTCCTGCATAGTGCTTCAAGATGAGCTGCCCCCACCCTTGCAGACAGGCTTGAGAGAAATCACACTTCTAGATTGGGAGTAGCAAAAATGCATTATGGAAAAATGCTTAAACCTTATTGCAGACATACATCCTGTTGCTCTTTATGGTGTTCTTTAGTTAACTGAGCAAACTTGAAAGATTAAAGAGAGGCACACACGGCTATATTCTCGTGCGTGTGCCTTTCTATTAATGCGACTGCGTGCTGAAAGCTACACATAAATCATACTAAAGCTGACGTATTAAGTTTGCCATTGCGTCTTATACAGAAATGTGACCAGGATGCTCAATCAGGCATGGAGTCTGATTTAGATGTCATCAGATTCATTGGAAAGAAGAGGTGTTCTAAAAAGGGGCTAATGACAGTGAGTCCTTTTATAGTAGACTTGAGTGTGTAGAACAAAAAAAAAAATATATATATATATATATATATATATATATATATATATATAAAAATGAAACGTGCACATCACCAGAAAAAAAGATCCTCCTTAAAACCTTTACTACCACTAACATCTGTGGGTTATTTATTCTTTACATCATCGACCTCGATACATGACAGTCTACAGGTGGTCTCCCCAGGCATTTAGAGAGCTGCATATTTTGGATGTCGTGGCTTTATTACTTATAAGTATGCATGTAGGCGTAATGAATAGGTGATTAGGCAAGGCTTACAGACACAATTTAAGGGTGTCTTGTCCTTTTTGATCAGATTGATGAAAAAAAATGTGTAGGACTTTTTGCTGAATCTAAATTGCTTATCACAGATGCATTGTTTTTTCTTATTTTTGTCCCGAATAAGTGGGGAACAAAGAAGCATTGTGTAAACATGAATAGTTCCAGCAGTGTATGATCACACAAGCCAAAATTCTGGCATTTCCAGCCTCATTTTGTTTTGGGTTTTCTTTTTTTTTCTTTTTTTTGGGGGGGGGTACATGTTAGAAAATCAAAGATTCATTGGTTTCATTTATTTGCTGATTATGACCTTGAAAATGGGGGGAAGCAATTTCAATAAATGAAGAAAATGTCAAAAATGTGTCACATCACCTACCCTTTGAGGAAGTGGTTGATTTGACTTATTCTCACTTATTTTTCTCTACAGGACCGTAAAGTCCTGAAAGTGAGAATCTGTCCTTGTGACTACACCAAACTACAGCATTAAAACACTTTACATTCATTCAGAACATCGAACTGACCATTCAGCGCAAATGTGTCTTGATGCCTTCACTAACATGTTAGATGTCATGCAAAGTTTGGCTTATTGTGCTGGATGATTTTTAAGACGATTCCAAGATTTTGTTACCGTTCTGTTTCCTTTGGATCTACTTTTTTTTTTTTTTTTTTTAAATGCACTTGTGAAAAATTAGAAAATGTTGGTAGTTGGGGGTTTTTTTTATTCTTATTTTATTCACTGTGTTCTTAAATTCATTATTTTTGTTATACTTCATGTTAGAACAGCACATTCTTTCATTTAATATATTGGTTCTCATTCCAGGATTAAAGTGAAAATCACTCCCAATGCTTCTCGTGTCTCATTTACTTATCGATTGATTCTTATGGATTCACCTCTGAATACATGTTTTGTGGTTAATGTGTAACATGTAGAGCACACTTGCACTTTGTTCCCCCCAAAAAATACAGAGAAATTTCAGGCACAATCTGGGCCAAGCTGAAAGGTACGTGTGTTATTTCGTTAAACTTAAAAACAAACTGAATTTCGGAGCGTTTTCTAAATATAATGAAGAAATGAGTATTCAGTTGGTGTAATCTTATATTTTTTTGTAGATTTAGTGATTGTGCTGCTGTACAGTGGTGCTTTTTTTTTATTTCTCGTTTCTGGGTGTGCACCCAAAACTTTCCAGGTTCTGATTTTGATGTTAAACACAATGAAGATGGCCTGTTTTCTCTTTGTGGCCCTCCTGTGCTTTCTGACTCCTATCCACCAAGCTGAACCTAACAGTGCCACCATCTCAGATCTCTCCTTCAAAAATATGGACTTTGCCATGAACCTTTACAGAAAGATATCCAGTTACAACGACAAGAACATCTTTTTTTCCCCCCTGAGTATCTCTACTAGTTTTGCGGCTCTTCTAATGGCTTCTGATGGTGTCACACACAAGGAGATCCTGAAGGTACTAAACCTGGAGGCGCTGGAGAGGGCCGACCAGCCGGATCTTATCCCTAAACTATTTCAACTCCTTCACGAGAACGTCACGCAAAACGGATCGCTGAAATTTGATCATAGCATGGCCTTGTTTATCCAACCCCAATTTATCATAGAGAGGGAGTTTGAAACCAAAATCAATAAGTTTTTTAATGCAGATATCAAAACTGTTGATTTTGCGGACACAACAGAGAGTATCAGAGTAATCAATGAGTACATTAGGGACAAGACTGGAGGCAAGATTACAGAGATGATTTCAGCCTTGGACGAACAGACCAAACTCCTGTTAATGAATGCAATTTTCTTTCAAGGTAAATTAAATCTTTTTTGCACACTTTAGATTTTGGGTTTATGTGCTATTAATTATACTAATATTCATGTCTGCACCTTTGAACTTTTTTGTTTATAACTAAACGTACAATATTACCTGCTCCACAGGAGCCTGGAAGATGCCTTTCAACTCCAATTTGACTCGAAATGCACCCTTCTACATCGATAATTATAATATTGTGCAGGTGCCTATGATGTTTAAAGAAGACAAGTACTACACTGCAGAAGATGTTTCTCTGAGAGCCAAAGTGCTGAAACTGCCATACCAAGAGGGTGTTTCCATGCTTATCCTGCTCCCCAACCCAGACATGGACTACACTATGGTGGATGATGAGATTACTGCAGAGAGGTTTCAGAGCTGGATCGCAAAACTGAGAAAAATGTACATGCGGAAAAATGCCTCGCTTTAACCAAGTGTCTGCATATTTTGTTGTTTAGCTGTAAAAATTCTAAATGACCATCAAACAATGCCTGCAGCAGATGAGCCAGTCTATTCAACATGTCAACTCATGTCTTGTTTGCAGGAAACTAGAAGTCAAGATGCCCAAATTCAACATGGAGCAGTCGTATTCCCTGCATAATCTCCTACCGGATATGGGCATGACCAGTGTCTTTAATAATTTGTCCAATTTGACAAAGCTCAGTGAGGACAAAGGGCTCAAGCTGTCAGAGGTTAGTTGTCACTTTCGGTATCATGTAGCGACACATGTGCCTGTTCCCCAAATAGTGCAGCAAAACACTTTTAACCTTGCTGTGAAATTGTAGGTGCTTCACAAGGCCATGGTTGATGTGGATGAGACAGGAACAACTGCAGCAGCTGCCACAACAATCGGTATCATTCCATACTCCCTGCCGAGGACCTTCACTATAAACAGACCCTTCTTCTTCTTCATATACCATGAAAACACAAACTGCCTGCTGTTCATGGGGAGGGTGATTGACCCCACCAAAAAATAGTTTTGCCACTGTAATGTGTTCATTCTTAAGTGGCTTCTACATGACTAATTTGGTGGATGTTTTAATCCCAGACAGTTTAAAGCTTGTTTTTTTCTGTTCTGTTCCTACAACATAATTCACCAATAATAATAAAGACGTCACCTGCATCACAAACTTGGATCTTTTAAATGTGCGTACATCTCCAAATTATGACAACCAGAGTAAATGTAATCACTTAATTGACAAATTACTGCTGTAACTGCATCTGTCAAACAAAAACATCAGTACCACGTTCTAATAATGCACATCTTATCAGGTTATTAAACTGATGCTACTGGTTGACTATAATAATTGTAAATGTAAAGATTCTTCTTTTGCCTTAAAGGTTTTGTTTACAGTAATTTTAAAAAGAGGAACTCTAGACAAATTTATTTCATTTACCTGATCACACACACACCCCACCCACTCTAAAAGTCTCAGTTTGCATGTTAAACAATGTTCATGACAGTACAATCAAACAGCATGGCTAAAGTTTTCAAAGTTGCATCTGAGAAAACCATAAGAGCCCCTTTAGACAGATGAGACCCAAGTGCACAATGCACAACGCCATGTTTTGTGAAAACCAAACACAACATATCACATCAAAGGACTTTTGGGATCTTGTGGTCATTGAGTCATAAGTGAACTCTTTGTATGCAAATGAGTCAAATGATCAAATTTCAATGTGTAATGAAACAGAACATTGCGGGTTTGGGCAAAGCTACAACAGAATGGCTGAAAAAGGAAAGAATCAAGATGTTGACTCAGTGATCCAGTCAAAGTCCAGACCTCAACTCGACTGAAATGCTGTGGCAGGACGTTAAGAGAGCTGTGTATGAATGAATGCCTGCAACCTTCAAGAATTGCAGCAAGAGTACTCTTGCTACGTGGGCTAAAATTCTTAAACAATGATGTGGGAGACTCCCAGAGAGTCACACAGAAAACGATTACTTCAGTTATACGCCGTTAAAGGTGGTCCCGCAAGCTCCTGAAACATGAGGGTGTAGTTATTTTATTTTATTTTATTTTATTTTATTTTATTTTATTTTACAGGACGGCAGAGCCCAATGAAAACTTTCTTTTCCACAAATGCGTTTATTAATTTATGTACTAGATTATATGCTAGTTTGTCAGGTACAACCTTCATTAAAAAATAACTGTAATTATCTTTGCTACGAATAATAAATACTGCTGTAGTGAAGCAACTCCCTCGGCACAAACTTCAATACACCTTAAGAAATTACAGCGTATTATCCTTGAACTGAAAGCTGATAAACTGAAACCCTTGACATCCTCGGCTATTATTTAAACGTTTATTAATTTTTTCTAAACGTTTATATAGGCGGTATAAGGGGTTACGTATTTAAAAAATGACCAGAGAAATTGAAACAGCGCCTGTTGTTTAAATAAAGTTTTTCAAACCACGTGATCAACACTGTCATGGCTGCGCCCTCGTGTCTCGCGTTGTTGTAATCGTAGCAGAAGTCTAAGAGAGCCTACACTCAGTCGAGGTAAGACTTTAGTACTTACTAATTCAACTGGTAGTTTACTGGAGACTTTGTACGCTTAGTTTCTGTTAATTATCGGTTAATAGTTGTCCGCTGGCATTAAGAAACGTGGGGTGCACGTGCGCTTTTAATAACTACACGTTAGGAACTTCACGAGGTCGGCTAAAGTCACTTATTTTACACCTTTACTTTTTTTCAGAAAAATGAAGACAAAGAAGATGAAGGCGAAAAACAAAGGCATGTCCACCGGGCTAGGGAAGCCAGCGAAACGTTGCATCGACATGAAAGGCAAATGGAAAACCATAGACCTCGATCCCAGCGTCTTCTCCGAGGAGGGCTTGGAGGGTCTGGTGTGTTTCGAAGAGCTCACGGATTACCGTTTAATAAACAGTGAGGAGGCTGCGGCCAAAGCAGCAAAAGAGCTGAAAAGGGAGAAGAAGAAGAAAGCACAGAAAAGAAAAGCTGGTGACGGCGAGGAGGCTGGAGCGAAAGGAGACTCTGAGAACAAAGAGGGGGAGAGCACAAGTGAGCCAGCGAAGAAAAAAGCCAAGAAAAAGAGGAAAAACAAGAAAGGGATTGCAACGGAGTCGGAAAATATTTCTGCACAAGACGTAAAGCAGAAGGATAATGCTGCCACTGAGGGAGGAGAGGATGAGGTAGCAGGTGAGGCCGATGAAAATGATTCTGCAGCCATCACTGCTGATCCCAAAGATGCAAAGAGAAGCAGGAAGAAGAAGAAAAAGGGGAAAGGGCAGCAGACAGTGCAGGATACAGTCCCAGAAGAACAGCCGAACCCAGAGTCTTCATCAGATCTGGAAAAAGAAAAATCCAGTCAAGATAAAGTGACAAAGGCCCCACACAAGAAGGCAAAAAATTGGACAAACGCTGCACTTTCTGGTTCTGAAGACAAAAATGTTGACATGAGTGCGTGGAAGGACCTGTTTGTCCCCCCACCTGTCCTGAGGGCACTGAGCAGTCTTGGATTTGGTTCACCGACACCGATCCAAGCCCTGTGTTTGCCTCCAGCTATCAGGGATCGTATGGATATACTGGGAGCAGCTGAAACTGGTAAGATAAAAGTGATAGGTTTATAGTGTCATGTTCTGTTCACAGATTTTTAAAAGTGGAGCTAATATGGATGTTGTACTTGCAGGAAGTGGTAAGACACTGGCTTTCGGCATTCCCATAATCCATACCATCCTGGAGTGGAAGAATAGCCCAGAAAAACCTAATGATGACGCTGAACCAGTCACAAAGGTGGAGAGTTTGTACTTACCACCTGTAGATGAGTGTACAAAATCAGCTGAAGAGGACCAAGAGGAGGGAGTGGAGGCTTCTAAAGAAAACGATGAAGGTGCTGAAGATCAGAATCAAGGAGACTCAGATGAAGATGAACACAGCGACATAGAAGATGAACAGCTTGGATGTGTTCGGGTAATCAAGAATGCAGACTTTGATTTTGATGAAAAACCTGCTGGTGCTCAGAGTCAGCCCCTCTTAGGACTGGTTCTCACTCCCACCAGGGAGCTGGCTGTTCAGGTCAAACATCATATTGATGCTGTCGCAAAATTCACAGGTAAGTCATAGCTCATCAGAGTGTTACGATAGAAGTTTTCTCGTAAGAGATGTATAAATGTCAGCATAGCTAATGTTTTCCTGCTGTGCAGATATAAAAACAGCCTTAGTGGTGGGTGGAATGGCACAGCAGAAACAAAGACGAGTGCTGAAACGCAGGCCAGAGATCATCATAGCAACTCCGGGGCGTTTGTGGGATTTGATCAAGGAGAGGCACCCACATCTGGTCAACCTCAGGCAGCTCAGGTGAGTCTTAATTTAAGACTGTCTGACTTATTTGCTAGAGGTGGTAATCGATACAATATTATCACAGTACTTCACTTATGATATGATATTATCATGATTTTTATTATTTTGTGATATGCTGAGTATTCCAATAAAATATATCACCTTTTTTAAACTGCAAGTTATTTCCTAAAGTATTATTTTTTTATTATTTTACTTTAGTTTACTATTAACATTTAACTTGCGCTCATTGACCTTCCTATTTTTATGGGAATATAACTAAAATAGAACCAGCTGGCAGCCAGTTGATGAACTGTACACATTGAGAGACTCATTCAGACTCATGGAAACATGTTGGCTATCTGTCTGGTTTCATATATTAGATAACAATTATTTGCAGAGTGATTGCAGTCAGTCCAAATCAGACTACACCTGTTAGTAGGAAGGGTGCCTCCTATCAGGTGAATCGAGCCCTCTTTTCAAAGTTTTCCCAGAGTATTTTAATGTATTTAATAAAATATTAATATTTGTTCTGTATCTACATATCGCACAAATATCCAATATTTTTTTTTTTCCTTCACCGATTACCGACACTGCTTTTAACCCTCAAATCATATCATGTGTGAAAGAGCCTGATTCTGTGTTCTGTGGTAAAGGTCTTTCAGGCAGGCCTATTTGTTAGATTTTTGTTATCCTTTCTTAATTCCTCTTCTTCCTATGACACAGGTGTCTGGTCATTGATGAAGCTGATCGCATGGTAGAAAGAGGGCATTTTGCCGAGCTGGAGAATTTGCTGGAAATGCTAAATACGACACACTTCAATCCCACTAGGCAAACTTTTGTGTTCTCTGCCACTTTGACGATGGTTCACAGCCTTCCCACTCGCCTCCTTCAAAAGAAGAAGAAGAATCTGGACCAGAGGAACAAGCTGGAAATTCTTATGGAGAAAGTGGGGATTAAGTCCAAGCCCAAAGTCATTGACCTCACCAGGAAGGAGGCAACTGTGGAGACACTGATTGAGACTCAAATCCACTGTCAGAAGGATGAGAAGGACTTCTACCTCTATTACTTCCTGCTCCAGTATCCTGGGCGCACCATGGTGTTTGCCAACAGTATTGACTGTATAAAGAGGCTGAATTCTCTGCTGGTTATACTAGACTGTACTCCGCTGCCTCTACATGCCAACATGCACCAGAAACAACGGCTGAAAAACCTGGAGAGGTTCGCTGAGAGGGAGAAGTGAGTTGTGCTCACATTTGCAGTAGCAACATCAAGTTGTCTTCAGCATTTATCCAGTAACTGTGTGCCACTGGTGACATCTAAACTTTAACTGTGGGAGTAAGGAATTCGTCTAGTATGCACAAAAATGCCTGAAATAGTTTTGTCTTTGTCTACTTTAAAACCATTTTTTAAATTTGTGAAAGTATTCACATTTTAAACATTTGACACATTCAAGTCCTGATGGTTTTTGTAGTTCCTGTAATCAGCAGCAGTCTTGAGCTGTATTTACTGTAAAACATTAGTGATTTCTTATTTTTTTAAAGGCACCTAGCTTTGACATTGCCATTTCTTTTGTTTCTCTTCACAGTTGTGTTCTCCTGACTACTGATGTGGCAGCAAGAGGCCTGGATATCCCCAATGTCCAGCATGTTATTCACTACCAGGTAACCCCTTAAACAGTTGCCCAAGGATTCTCCAGCATGAATAAGAGGTTATCAATTAGCCACAAAACAGTCCCTGCAGGTTTCCCGTGATGCACTCAGTGTTTATACACGACTGTGCATTTGTTATTAAACTCTAGCTCTCTTCATCAATGTGTCTTTTGTCTCCCCTCACCCCCAACCAGTTTCAGCAGATGGTTGCACATCAGTCTTTTTCTGCTGGAGGTTTCTTCCTGTTAAAGGGGAGTTTTGTCGCCAAATGCTTGCTCATAGGAGGGTCTTTACCTTACAATAAAAACCAGCTTAAAAGATGAATGTTGGGCAACGGCTTATAACTACAGCAATGTAATGAGCACTGTTCCTCAAGAAGTGATTTGTTCATACCAGGTTCCTAGAACATCTGAGACGTACGTGCATCGGAGTGGGAGAACAGCAAGAGCGACTAAAGAGGGCCTCTGTATGCTGCTAGTAAGCCCAGATGACATGATGAACTTCAAAAAGATATGCAAGAGTCTTGGAAAGGACGAAGAGCTTCCCACATTTCCCATAGAGACCAGATGCATGGATGCAATCATGGTGAGATCCATCAGCATAAGGTCCTGTCCATTTTTGATGTTAAAGGGTTTAACTGATATAACTTGGGTTCTTCCACAGGAGCGAGTAAACTTAGCCAGGAGAATTGAAAAGGTAGAGTACTACAACAGCAAGGAGAAACACCACAACTCCTGGCTCAAGCAAGCAGCAGAAGCCCTGGAGGTGGATCTGGATGATGACTTATTACTTGGTAAAACCAGCACTTTTAACAAGTTTGCATTTCAAAATAAAGTTTCAATGCAGAAAATTAAGTCCACACATTTCCACAGGCAATGCAAATGATGAGGATGCAGACAGAGAGCAGCAGAGGATGGTGAAGGGGATGAAAAAGGAGTTGAAGCGTTTGATTTCACTGCCCATTTTCAAGAATGTAATGAAGACCAAGTATCCTACTCAAATGGGAAAGCTCCCCCTGCCCCAAATGCCCCTTGCTGGGATGGAGAGTGCCCTAACCAGGGTTTCAACACAGAAGAAACCAGAGAAGAGTATCCATCCACGGCAGAAAAAACAGAAGCAGAAGGCAAAATGACTTGTTTGAGAGGTTTATTAAAAAACTTCAAATGACACAATTTATAAAAAGGGTAAAAAAAGTAAACAGCATTTTAAAGTCTCTAAATGTTTAGTGCACATTGTGCAACAGATGCTCATCCCCAGATGATGGATTCCTGTAAACTGCAAGATTTTATAAAAATCTAATTTTGTAAGTGTCTTCAAGCACAGTTGGAATTTATTCAACCGGAGTCAATATTCCTGATTCGAGCAGTTTCGTTGGTCATAGTTGTGCCCGAGGGTAGAGAATATCGTAATGAGATGTGTGGTAGAGGAGATGCAGGGATGGGTCCCCATTTTCTGGAATGATGTGGTGAGCCAGCTGTTGTCCGTCGCCTTCCATAGAGACGATGTGGATGGAGATGTCCAGAGCCTGAGATAGAGCCGAGATGTCCACATGATCACACTCCATCGCCATAGCCTCCACTTCCTTAACGAAGAGAAGAGATTTTAATCAAAATCCTTCAAATTATCCACTTTAAATAATTCAGAGGTTCTTTATGCAGTATATGGCAGCAACGCCGATACCAACTTCATGACAGTAGACATGTAGATCAGGTGCTTCCACAAAGTTGCGGAAGAAGTCTGCATTGTTTTGCAGGTGTGCTGAAGTGAGCAGCCTGAGATACTGCACAACACTGTCGGAGGTAGTATGCTCATTGAAGAGCCTGAATAGTGAAATTACATCTGCTTGGCTTTGCTCAACAACCTGAAGAACCTTCAACAGAAAGAGGAACAATTAGACTTTGCTTTTTTTTTTCTTTTTTTTTTTAAACAGAAAATATGGTGCCTGTAAGATTTCATTCAAGAGTCATTTTCTGCACCTTTTTAAAATAACTACACAGGTCTAGCAGGATGCCAAACTGGTGAAGCGCAGGAGTAATACTGTGTTTTTAAAATCAGAACAAACTGGTGTGTAATACAGAGAGATATACATCCAGACGGCCAGATTCTGAATTAGGTTGATATACATACTCAGACTTCCTAAGCCTGCTGCCACCATTTTGGTTCCAGCAGAATAAAATAGTGGCAACAGGTCTTATAGTGTGATTAATTAAACAATGTTTTATAGCCATCTAAACCATGGAAGGTCTACCTGGGGGCTTTGGATGTCCTCCGAAAAGCCTGAGGAACTATCCATGAAGACTTAAGAAATGGCAAGAGAGCTGCCTGAGTGTTCAGGCTGTGTTAAATAAAATGTAGTCATACCAAATATTGACTTTTAAAGCTCACTGCACAAACTTTTTTTTTTTTTTTTTTTTTAACCTTAGTCTACATTACAATTACTTTGCACATTTCAGTAAAATGCTGCATCCGTTTTCCCAGGAAAATGTAAGGAAATAAGGGGTGATTCAAAATCTTTGTACAGTGTTGCAGTTGAAATTGTAGACGCAAAGCAAATGGTCCAATCAGTACAAAAGTAGTTGAGAAGCAGACATCTGTCTAATGCAGGGGTCCCCAATCCCAGTCCCCGAGGGCCGGTGTCCTGCAGGTTTTAGATCTCACCCTGGGTCAACACACCTGAATCACATGATTAGTTCATTACCAGGCCTCTGGAGAACTTCAGGACATGTTGAGAAGGTAATTTATCCATTTAAATCAGCTGTGATGGATCAAGGGCGCATCTAAAACCTGCAGGCCCTCGTGGACTGGGATTGGGGACCCCTGGTCTAATGACTAGGATATTTTCACACACACACACACACACTTATCATTTGTTCGATGCATGTACTACATACACATCAAACGGCAAGTCAAAGCTCACAGGCTACAAAGTGCCATTCCCCCCCCCATTATTTTACTAATGAGGTCTGAGGAGATGCTAATAACTTGTTGGAAGAAAAACAAAAATATGAGTGCATTTACCGTGTCCAGGTGGTGCCTGAAGAAATCCTCCTCAAATCCTGCAGAGACCAAAATTGCGCTGCCCTGGATTATCTTGTCCTTGAACCTAACATTGAGAGGGGCGAGACAAGCACCACCCTTATCAAATCAACGCTGTTCAATCAGGTGATATTAGTGACAGCAGTAATTAAATCTGACCTCTGCAAATCCCTGGCACTGTGTAGGACTGACTCCAAGTATGCGAAGCAGAAAGCTCTGTAGAAGCAGTTGCCGTCGCCGCAAACTTTTCTTACGGCGGAAAACTGGCTGCTCAGATCCTGAGAAAGGACAACAGGTCCGGTTATTCTACAGTCGTTATGAGGGGTGACCGTGACCACCTGCACTACATCAACCTCAGCCCCTTTTCGAAATAGCCTACTTGCTGTTTGGCACTCAGCATTTGCGCAGGGAACAGCGAAGAAATGTCCTCTCTACATGAAACCAAGCTGCCATCCTCCATCTGTGGACGAACAAGCAGTTTTACTACCTGGAAAAAAAACCCCGCAGTTTCAAGAGTTACCTGACTGTGTGACGTACCTTCATATTTCAACAACCTGGAAACAATATAAAAAACCCGTAACGACAGTTAAGAAATACGCGTGTCAAAACATTGTTGCCTTTTCGTTCCTACTTTCTAAAAACCGGATGTTTGCGGAAACCACGTGCTTGTGTTAAAGGGCCAGATCGGGGTTTTTATAGCGTGCGAGCCATGTCTTCAGTTTCTCATGAAAGTACTGAATCAGGCTTTTATCTGCTAAATAGGATCATATTTGTATTAAAAATGTACTTAAAATTGTTTTTTATTGTTCATATACTATTTTTCATGCATCGTGCTGGTGGGGTGCTTACAATAAAGCTTTCGGGGCACCCAGTCATAGGTTTGGGTAAGCAATCCGAATCACCAAAGTAACAAGAAACTATAGCTTTTTACATTATTGTCGTGGCATCACAGGTTTTAACTCTGAAACGTGGGAAATGTGAGGCAATAGGGTCAAAGGAGATTTTATTGGCTGCTTGTTTTTGGTGTTTTGCATGATGCAAAGGTGGTGGATTGCTGTTGATTGAGTGAGCATTTACATAATTTGATTATGACCACTTTATTTATTTTTTTAAATAAAAGCAACATTCACAATACAATGTGCCCAAATCCAAATTTACAAGTTCGGATGACCTGTTAAACATGAGGATCTCATTTCAAACAGCTACGTTTTCAGTTCCTTGTCTATGACGTCTTAAGTGCAAAGGTTGGTGCACACATTTTTTAAACACTGAACAAATGTTATAAAGGCAAATAATGAAAAAAAAACATTATGTTCTCCTACAAGCTTTTTTTTTCTCAAGGTTTTGGTAACACTTCATTTGCTACGAAGTGGTAGCAAATGCTTCTTCCCACCTCAAGAACGAACCTCCACTCTCAACAAACCATAAGAGACAACACTGTGATGAATACTCAAACTACAACATCAACCAAATGTCTCACTACTCCTGCTGACTTTACTTGAACTTTTGATTTGTGTTTTACTTCCAAAGCTTCTCATTGACCCCCTCTCTCTTTTGTTTGCCGCAGCGGTTGTGCTCGTCATCAAACTCCCCAACTCCATCATCCTCCTCGCTCTCCTCTCCGTGTCTACCTTGTCCAGAATGTACTCCTGAAAGAAATGGTCAGTCAAGATTTGGGTAAACTAAAAATGGACCCTAACAATCATCTCATCCTGCACGTAAATACCTTCACCATGTCCATCATTGTCAGCGCGTTCATCTTTTCCAGCGGTCCGTATTCTGGTAGGTAACACTGTTCTGCAAGGTTGCTGATGGCCATAAGCAGTCTTCCCACTTCTGTAACCTGAAACATGAAGGGCACACATGACATTATTTGATCCAAAGTTCCCAAGATTAATGAGCAGGGTCACATCCAGCTAATCTGGAAGGCATACCTTCTCTCTGGATAAGTCTTGCTCCATCTGCAAGTTAACCTCTGCCTGCTTGTTCTTCTCTTTGAGGGTCTCTAACTCACTCTGCAGTTCAGACAGCTCTTTATTGGCCATCTGCAATACATACAAAAACACATCAACCGCTATAAACTACAGTACTGCTATGAAGACATGATACATCTAACATCCGTATTTGTATATCTGACCAGTTTCTTTACGCTGTGTTCCTCCTTCATATTCTGCAGCTGCCGCTGGCCTTCCTCCACCTCCGCCTCCATACGTTGTAAACGTTGCAGCAGCTCCTGGTGTGTGATGGATAAGGTCTCATGACGCCAAATGATGGGCATGACTAGAGATTCAGACCCGTCATTGAGGTAATCTGAAACGGACTGTGTGCTTTACTCAACAGGCTAAACAAAGCAAGTTCATTTGAAGGCTCAATAATGAGCATTTGAACTTACTGCTGGGGAGATAATCTCGTGTTTTTATCAAATAATCCTCATAGATTTTGTATTTTGCCACTCTCTCCTTTAAAACTTGCCTCCTGCAAATTAAACCATGGCAAAGCCGGGCTTAAAAAACAACTTCATGAAAGAAATCTTTAAATGAAAAACAACATTTCAAGGTCTCACCTGTCTCTGAATCCTTTAAGCTGTTCTGTCAAATCTTTTATCTGCTGCTTTTTAAAAATGTTTTGCACCCGTGAAGCTTCACAGCTCTTTAACGCTCTGCGTTGCTTTGCTTCATTCTCAGCTACGAACTTCTCAAATTTCCCTACTTTTTCTTTAGTCTGCATGAAAAGAAAAGATAAAAGCCAGCCACATTAGGACAGTCTCTTTCAGATGATGGATAACTACTACTGCTTCTCATTTAAGGTGGTCTCAGCTCACCTCTTGTAGTTTTATTTCAAGTTCAGACCTTCGCTGAGCAAGGGCCTCCATGCAGGCTTTAAAATCCAGCCGTTTAAGTGCAAGTCGCTTCTCCACCTCATCCAGCTCTGCCTGTTTCTTCAGAACCAGGGTCTTTTGCAAAGTAGTCACTCCTGCCTCCAAGACTCTGCTCGAAGGCTACACACACACACACACACACACACACACACACACACACACACACACACACAACCAGAACGACTCAGATGCTTTAATACTGAAACCTTTGCAGGGTGCATTTATGAAAAATGCCTCAAAAGAAAAGTTACCAAGTGGTTTAAAAGGAGAAGTAAAATCAAATAGAATTAAAGGTATAAAGCAGGAAATAGAAGAAATAGAACCTGTGGAAGTGAGACTATTTTCTGTGAAGGCACAAATCTTACCACTTTTAAAACTGGTATGTGATTGGCATCATCTTCCCTTCTGTGTGTGAAGAGAAAACTGTCAGTAACAGTCTAAGACAGTAAAGGCATGTATGAATGGGGACATCAGACTAACTTGCTGCTCCTCAAAACCACGGGCCTACCTGCTGTCCTGCGACTGTGTCACAAAAATGTTGTTTACTCCATTTCCCACCTGGAGTTTTTGACCAGGACTGTTCTCTAAAAAAGGAAGAGAATGCGTCGTCATGTCTTTTAGTGGATTTGTCGCTCAGGAATTCTGATGCGTAAAGAAGCGTCTTCTGGTATTCTTCGTTTAAACGAACAGAAGAACAATCGGGGATCTTTTCCGGATGTTTTTTCTTGGATTCGCGTTGCTGTTACCTAGTGACCAGGGGCCAAACAACAGGGAATGTACCGGGATCGTTTCTTTGTTGTCATGGCAAAAGCAGGGAAGCCTCGGCTTGGTTACCGACCGAGTGAGAGCGAGAGAACGCGAAGAGTGCTCACTCCGTCCCGGTTCCCGCAAAGCCTGAAACATGTTGTGAAAACCTGAGTTGTCCTTGTAGCTTTCGGTGTGTTCATTTTAAAGATCATTTTACTTATAATTAGTTGCTTTTAAAAAAGAATAATTACAGAACAATACTTTAACATATGCACATACTTGCAATTACTTGTTGTGTTCTCAGAAATGATAAAAAGTAAAGACAAAGAGGCTTCTGGGAAATGTAAAATTCTTTAATTACAAAAAAACCGTAAAAGTTATTGTTGCCTTTTTACATTCCTTTTTTATTCTTACTTCAATTAGCTTAAAGAGAATTAAAAACTTAGTGTAATTATGTTTTACGGACATTTAAATATTGCTATGAATTAATAAACAAACACCTGGAAGGATTGTAGATACCTCCACAAAGAGCTCGCATTAAAAATTTGCTGCTATTCGGATTTTAACAGCTTGACATGACTTCCATTGAGCTCTATGAATTCATTAAAACCTAAATTAAAAAGAAAGGGAAACGGCAAATCCTCCTGCTTCCCAACCTTTAAGCATGTGTTAAATGTTAAAATATACTAAGTTTTCAACTTTAAATAATTACTTTCATTTTTGTAACTGAAGAAGTTCAAATTTCCACCTTAAACAAAAAGGGAAAAAGTAAATTTGGTCAAATTTAATGTCACATTTAAAATGCACATGAGGAAACTCTTCCTCCTCAGTAGATGGTGCTAAAGTATGCACTACCATCATTCTGCAAAGGAAGGTCAAAAGAGCATTCAAGGAAAGTCACAATGATAGTCACAAAATTCATTTGATTAGAAAATTTGCAAAAAGAAAATGATATACAATGCCATGAAAAATGAAGTAAATTGATCCAGAAGAGTCTCGCTGCATGGCAGTGAAATATGTGAAGGTGGTGCAGAATAAATATGAGAATAGAGGGGCAGTGTGACGTGTGCTGTAGAAGTGACAGATGGGTTCAAGGTGGAGGTGGGATTACATCAGGGATCAGCCCTGAGCTCCGTCTTGTGTGCAATAGTGTCGGACAGGTTGATAGATGAGCTCAGGCAGGAGTCTCGTGGACGATGATGCTTGTAGATGGCGTTGTGACCTGTATTGATTTGATGCCAAGCCAAAACATTTGAGATGCAGTTGTGACATTTTACTTGTTCTTATCAAAGGCTCTTCTCGGGAGACCATAGTGACAATTTAATATACTCTCAAAACACATACAGGTAACAAATAAGAGGACATCAGGACTGTCCTTGCGTCTCACAAGAGTGGGAAAACTCTGGAATAGCTGCTGGTATGTTGTTTGGACTACTGCACTTTATACGTCACAATGCTGAGTTTGAGGATACCTTTGACTGACTGCAGCTGCTGTCTAGCTTGTCTTGGCGTTAGAAGGCAGCAAGCTTTCAAAGAAAACAAGTATGAGTGAGCCGAGTCTTGCTCGACTACATTCCTGTAAAACATTTTACTAATTTTACTTCCTGATGCCACCATGCATTATCTTCATAATTGTTTTTAAAACCACAAAATTCACATTAATTGTTTTCTACATAAAAATACATTAAGGACTTGCGTTGCTGTGTTACTGGTCCAGCAGTATGTTTGTGAGTCCTGTGCGTTTGTGTGTCACATGCTTATTGTGTTAACTGAAAGTCCAGTTTTGTAACTGTGTGTTTACTGAGAAAACAGACACTTGGTTAAAGACGTTCACTAAAAAAAAGATTCTTCACCTTTTATAATATGAAACAATAATTTTGAGTAAAATATAATTGAAATATACAAAATCAAAGGTTTATTTATTCAAATAATGAATCATTAAAGAAAAATGTGCTTGAATTTATACCAATGAAGTTCATTTATTGGAACAAATTTCATAAAATGTAACATCTATATTGCACTTATGTAACAAAATTACAGGTAAAGTTTACATGTAATTAAATTTCATTTCAGCCGTAACATTTCTGAGTGTGTGTTGTTATTAACCTACTGCTTTTAAAAAATATTTAAAATTGATAAGAATTCAAAGTTGTAGTTTGTTGTAACAAGGGAAAAGGAGAAGCAAGAGGAAGAACCTTTTCCATAAGATGGAGAGCAGCTAAAAAATAAAAGGGCAGTCAGATCTATTCATATTAATGTACAGAATTCACCTGCTTGCTGCTACTACTGCACATTCACCCAGTGTATATACTATATACTATATGTATGTATATATATATATATATATATATATATATATATATATATATATATATATATATATATATATATAATGTTCTTCCTCTCCCCCCCCCCCCCATTTTTGCACATGTCGAGGAGCGTGTCAGGCTACATTTCACTGTGTGTTATACTTGTATAACTATGCATTTGACAAATAATAAAGAACCTTGAACCTGAACCTTGAACCTTGAACTAGTCAAGGAGTCCAAAACTCAAGAGTAGAACGTAACATTTATTTATAATAAAACAAGCCCAGGGCATATAAAAAATAAGCTAAAACCAAGCTAGAAGTCTGACTTTTACATTGTATTTACAGGTCCAACAGTCTTGAACAGCTGCTCTAACCCTTACAGAAATCACTGTTTTCGCCAGTTATGTCTTGCTTGCTTGGAAAGGCCTTCTTACTGGGCCCAACTCCTCCACTATATCCGACACCAGTTCCACAGATGAGTCCAGGGCGAATCTCCTTGGCATCCATCCTGTTGCACCGCTTAACCTCTGTTGTTCTCAACTTTGTGCCACTTCTGTGACTCCTGTCATGCTCTAGAACAAAGGCACTTTTAAATATACAAAAAACACTCCGGGATTCCCTGTTACAACATGATAGTTACAACATAAGAGTAACTGTAATGTTCAGCTTTGTGGAAACTGTCAGAGGTACAGATTCCCTGGTACTGAACACATCTGTGTTGTTCCTGTCCTGACTTGTTTTTACAGGACGTTGGTTGTTTCTTGTTCTTTGCAGGCATTTGAAGCTTAGATATCTATCTACACATAGTCTTTGAATGCAGTGATACACAACATCACTGATATCAGTCTATGTTTTTCCAATGACACGTGGCTGATTAATGTGAGATGTACCATAAATAGACTTTTCTTTTGTTAACAAACGAACAGCGTGGACATCAGCTGAAAAGCCGTTTCACGAAAACTCCCTGTTCAGATCCCTGTTTGCTTCCGAGGGGCTCAGCCTATATCTTGGAAATGTTACTTAACTAACATTGGTCCACCTGGTCCAGCCCTAACTAAAGCATATAGTTAGGGCTGGACCAGGTGATCCTGAATCCTCCCTTAGTTATGCTGCAATAGACGTAGGCTGCCGGGGGATTCCCATGATGCATTGAGTTTTTCCTTTCCAGTCACCTTTCTCACTCACTATGCATTAACAGACCTCTCTGCATTGAATCATATCTGTTATTAACCTCTGTCTCTCTTCCACAGCATGTCTTTATCCTGTCTTCCTTCTCTCACCCCAACCGGTCGCAGCAGATGGCCCCGCCCCTCCCTGAGCCTGGTTCTGCTGGAGGTTTCTTCCTGTTAAAAGGGAGTTTTTCCTTCCCACTGTTGCCAAAGTGCTTGCTCATAGGGGGTCATATGATTGTTGGGGTTGTCTCTGTATCTATGAAGCACCTTGAGGCGACTTTTGTTGTGATTTGGCGCTATATAAATAAAATTGAATTGAATTGAATTACTTCTCACACACTCACAAGAGGACCTACACACTTCTTGTTAGACCTTCATCTTCTACAGGTTACACACAAGGGCACCAACTGAATGGTAATAGTGGTTTGACACGAAAATGAGTTCACTCCAATAAAAATCTGGAACTGGAGCAGAGCCACTAATAATTATAAACAAACCACCCCCATCACTGTTATAATTGTAGTTACAGCTGAAAAGTCCCTGACAACTCTGCAAGGAAGCTCCATAATAGCTACATCCAACAACTAGCAATGTAAACCTAGAATACCATTGACTGCCATATAATTTGGGGGGGTGGGGGGGCTGTTTTTGCCTGGCAGCCATGCTCTGGTCTGGCCTCCTCCGATAAGGTTTGGGAGAAACTCCGGGATGACAGACTACAGCCCAAGAAAAATACTCAACATTACAATCTAGGGAAGTCACAATAGGCTCTACATACACCCTACATACTTCTATGTGCTGTTTTTTAGTCTCTTTTCCATCTTTCTCCCACTTTCTCTCTCCCTCCTAAGAATCCCGCCATCAGAACTGCTCTATCTGTTTTGTAAAATTGAAATCAAAATGCCCATCAGTACTTAAGTGCATCTACATATGTCACTATGTACATGTATAGCTGTGCATGCATGTATGTTTTTTTCCTGTTTTTGTTTTTCTTCCTCCCTTGAATATGTGTATGTATCTGTATATGTGTGTGTGTAGGTATGTGTGCAGACATGTCTCTTTATTCAGGTGGACTTGTGTGCATTTGTGTGTACACACATATAAATCAGGTTGATTTTGGGTTTACTTTTTATTGCTATCCCTCTTTTATCCTGTCTGTTTCAACTTGTCTTGTTTTACTTGTTCTATGTCCATGTCCTATATGGATGTTGGTTAAAAATAATAATTAATTAATAATTAATTTTTTTAAAAGAGCAAATGCACTGGTATATCACAGGGAAAGAAAACCTCATGAATGTTATCATAAAAGCTTGAAGAAACTGTCAGAGTCACTGATTTACTGGTACTGAATATGCCTGTTTGTTTCCTGTCCTGACATGTTAGTATGTCGTGACAGGACGGTGCTTTTTTTTGCAGGTGTTTGAGACATACATGTGTTTTCATATGTTTTGGTTTGACTTTGTTGGGGAAAGATCGCAGATTACCCAGGAATTTGCAATAGAGCCCGTTTGCGTGGTTGAAAATAAATATGTCGAAGGACTCGTTCGTCGTCATAAAACTATGAGGCCACTTCCAGTTTCAATAGAGGAAGCACTTTTTAAAAACATTTCGGAAGAAGTAATTGTGAAACAATCTGTTGTCATTCTGCTTGTTCTTCAGACTCATTTTTGCACTTCACACAGTCGCAGCAAGAGGTGACACATGTTATGACAGAATCCTTCAGACCGTCTGATTAGGATTAGCATATTTGTTCTACAAAGTAACTCATATTTTGTGCATAAGGAGAAAGAACAATGTCATGTGGTGAGTCTATCAAGCTGTTTTTTGGGGGGATTTTTTCTATCCAATTTAATTCTAATTGTCTCTGTCATTGTTTTGTAAAATTAATCATGCCCTGTAATCTCAGCTTCATGTTTTTTTGTTATCCTCCTGTTGCATAACTCACTAACAACACTACACACACCAGCACCTTCTCTGGAACAGCAGTACCAAGTGGAACATAACACTGCTGAACATGTCCTTAAAAGGCATCCCCCCTCACTGCCTGAGTCGCTGCTCTCTGATTTCTGCCTTTGCAGATTTCAGCTCTTTTATATGAGTTAGGTCACTAATTCACGTGGGATGTGTGTATTATACTGTGCCTGTGATTTTATTGCTGCTGTTGATGTTCTAACTTCTATTTTCCAACTTCTATTGTGAATAGTGTTTACTCATCTATGAAAAAGACAACAGCACTTTTTGAGGTGTTCTGCACTTAAGACTGGACAACAAATCTCCTCCTGTGATGATTGCAGTCCAAAAAGCTGGGTCTCTTTACCAGAGACTAAACAGCGACATCAAAGACAGGCTGGCTGGATGCTCCCTGACTTTCCACACTTCACAAAACACCACAACAAACCTGCTCAGGTAAGAAAAGATGCCATCACTTCTTAACGCTTAACAATTTAACATTATCTTGTCACCAAATACCGCAAATGCTATTCCTAATTGTTTTTCAGTGAAACATTAGAGATAGTTATTCATGACATTTTTGAGCATGGCATGGTGTGAAATGCCCCAGTGACGTATCAGTATATCTAAATAGCCGTCAAGATGAAAACAAGAGACATGAAAAGAAAAGCGCCGGTCTGTGCTGACTGCCTTAGTGTTGCTTGTTAAAAAAGCAGAGTTACTACAAGTTTTCTGATGGTGAAGAGCCTCAATGGGCTATTTTGTGGAGGCTCAATGAAAACAACATTAATTAAAAGGATGTATTTGAGTAGTAGGTGGAGGTGAAATCATCACGTTTTATAGTTATTTTACCATACATGTGATGCAAATGTTAAGATGTCTAAACCTTAAAGACACAAATAAAACAGCACCAATAGCATTAATGTGTAGTGCTCACAGGTGGCGTTAAGGAAGTCTTTCTGTCCCTACAAGACTGTTTTTACTGTATGGGGAAGCAACTTGTTAAAACACAAATATTCAGTACACCGAGATTTACTTCCTTGAGAGTCTCTGAAGTTCAGTGGCAAAACCTTTCGCTCTTGTGGAGAAACTGAAACCTGTTAAATGAGATTTAGTGGTTAGATGACACTCACAAACCACATGCTCAAACATGTGAGTCAAAATAAGTAAATGAGTTCTGAGCTGCAGTGAGGCCATAAACAGGCACTAATCAATATGTGGTGCCTGTAGAATCATAGATGAAAGCTTTATTACACATTGTTTCATATGGTTGGCTGACAAAGTATGAGGCTGAAAAACAAATCAGATGAATAATAACGTGGATTTTATTCATGGACTTGTCACTTTTGAGATTTTTGCTTCAATAGCATATTTTTCTTCAAGCAGGGGAGGAAAGAAAATGTCCAAAATATACATTTGCATCTTTATTTTACTGCATTTTATTGACTGGACATGCAGATCAGTAAGAGTTAAGTAAATATGTAGTCTCTGTGGTTGATTCGGATATTTAATTATTAAATGGTTTCCTTTTTGGTTTGGGTGTTTTTTTTCCTGGCTCTTTGCAATATATTTTCTCATTTTGGAAGTGATATAAAAAAGATTTTAAAAATCTAGTGATAAAAAAAACGGCAATAAAAACGGAATTACAAACACAGTTTTATATCCAACATTCAGCATTCCGTTATGGAAATGTATGCAAACTGATTTAGATTTACATAGATTCATAGCTTCATTTTCATAGTTAAGCATAACATTGCCGTGTGTGTGTGTGTGTGTGTGTGTGTGTGTGTGTGTGTGTGTGTGTGTGTGTGTGTGTGTGTGTGTGTGTGTGTGTGTGTGTGTGTGTGTGTGTCAACATCTGACACCCATACACCGCCACTGTGTTTAGCATTTGTTCTCCTCTGTGACGGATCGCCATTCTGACTAAAGATGTTCCCTCAAAGACTTTATCTAAAATCTCCCATAAGTGTATATTTAGGCTGAGAGCTCGTGATACCCAGAGGGCACCCTCATAAGCGGATAAAGATGTTTACTCAGAACTCATTTTGAATTCATTTGCAGTCACCCTTCCCTCCAAGAGGACATGTGAACCCAAACAGCGCCCACAAAATGCCTCCATCCCACAACATAACAGGGCCACTGGACCCCCTCATTATACGGTCAAGAGTTCTATTTTTTCCTCTAATCTGTCACCCATCTTCACATGGTTGAGCAAAAACACCACTTAAAGACACTTGGCTCATCGGTGCCCCCAACAGGACTTAAATTGTAAAAAATCTCGAAGACATAAGAAGGAAAATATGATCTTTGGCATCATTTAATACGCTGGTGTCTTCTGATAAACAAGCTACCTGAGCTATAACAGTGTCTTCGTCGCTGGAGTGAAGCTATTACGCAGGCCACGCCTCTAGCTGCCACGAAGGACGCAGAGGTCACATCCTCGGTATTTTTCTGGGAATTTAGGGTGGTGGAGGGTTACATTCAACAGATATATGTGTTGACGTTTGGAGTCTGTTTATCAAAAAAATTATTTTTATTTTTATTTTTTTATTTATGTATTGCTTCCCTTTTTTAGTGACATTAGGCCACCGCCTATCGCTTATAATACAGTCAATGTGCACAGGCTTTTCAAAATGGAGCAGTGATTAATGGTTCGTTGTGGGGGTCTCTGTTTATCTTCTGCAGTTGTCACATATCAGTCTCGTTATCTAACTTGGAAACCAGCCAGTAAAGACGAAAAGAGCTGGCCTTACACTGCATTATCTCCAGGGCTGTTTCTCTTATCTTTAAACGTCCGAGTCTTCTGACATATATGGATAAGTCCGTCATCCTGCCGCCTGACAATACAGTCCCAAAATAATCTGAGAGACCACAGCTGAGCCCCGCTCGGCTCTGCGCGCTGCTCCGCCGACGCCGACGACCTGGGAAGGAAAAAAGCGAAATCTACCTTCAGTAATGACGAAATTCAGTTACTCTGACTATTTGTCTCAGTTCCGTTATGCCGGTAATAAAGCTGTGTCGCGACTGCGAGGGGATAGGAGAGGAGACAATGAGAGCGACGGCGCGTCAGAGCCGGAGTGAGTCTTTTATTGTTGTGTGGACTATTTGAGGCTGCCTGTGTTCGTGTGTGTGTGTGTGTGTGTGTGTGTGTGTGTGTGTGTGTGTGTGTGTGTGTGTGTGTGTGTGTGTGTGTGTGTGTGTGTGTGTGTGTTTCAGAGTGAGGGTGCTGGTGGCTCTTGTGTGCAACTTCTGCATAAATAGCAAAAATAAAAATCACACATCCTGGATTACTGAGAGCAAAATCAGCTTATTATGATGATAATCACCGAATGTACAGATTTTAGGGTCAGTGCTGCCTTTCCCATAAGGATCTGGTGTCTTTCTAAAAATACACTTGATTGTATTCAGACTACTTAATGTTTTAGGGGGTTTTCTCTCCTTTCAAGGGATGTTGATCCTGTGGTCTGTGCCATCAAAAGAGGAGATGTGGAAACTGTCAAAAATCTGACAGCCTCTTCTCACTGGGTGCTGAAGGAGAACAATGATGGATGGATACCTTTGCATGATGCTGCCTACTGTGGACAGGATGAGTGCTTGAAGACCCTTTTAAGGGGTAGGTGATTGAAAGTCTCAAAGAATTATCCCAGAAATGTAATTTGTCACCCTTGAATGAATCACATGTTAAGAAAAGAAACGTAAATCTATTGCGGGAGGACTTTTAAAATGTCATGTGTGCTTGTTTTGTTTAACGTGTATTTTCTGTTCTAGCCCTTCCAGGCTCAGTAGACAAGCGCACATTGCAGGAGCAGACGGCCTTGCTGCTTGCGGTGTCTTGTGAACACTTGGCCTGTGTGCAGTGTCTTTTGGAAGCAGGTGCTGACCCTGACATCAGCAGCAAGAGCAAAGAAACACCTTTGTACAAAGGTACAGCTGTGGGCTAAGAATTTCTTACAACAGCTTATATGAAGCCAGGCTGACTCGTGTCTTTTTGTGTCTGTCCAGCATGCGAGCTTGAGAACATAGACATGGTGAACCTTCTTCTCTCTTATGGGGCCACTGTGAACCAGCGGTGTGCCCAGGGCTGGACAGCCCTTCATGAGGCTGTATCGAGAAACAACACAGAGATCTGTGAGATACTGTTAAGAGCTGGGGCTATAATTAATCCATCTAATACCTACACCATCGCTCCACTGGTTGTAGCAGCTCAGCAAGGACAGATGAGGACACTGTGTTACCTTATTGAGAAAGGTACAAAAAAATTCCAGGTTTTCATGTTTATGATTTCAATGAAATTATGTTATAAAAGAATGATGATTGTTTTTTGTTATTTTAGGTGCAGATGTCAACACGCAGACATGCGATGGGGTTACGGCGCTGCATGAAGCGAGTAAAAATGGCCACATGGAAATTGCGGCCCTTCTGTTGACTAAAAATGCAGATGCCAACAAACCGACAAGCTCAGGACTGCTGCCTTTGCACATCGCTGCCCAGTATGGACATGACAAGTAAGTTCAAATACTAACACTTGCAAAATGGATGAAATTATAATAATAATTTAAAAAAATGATTAGTGTGTAAAATTTGTATTCATATCCTAAACTTATTGTTAAAATATGCAATGGAGCGGATGTTGTAAGTGGCGCTGTAAGCTCTAACTTCTCTGTATTTGTTGTGTTAACTTTACATTAACATTCTTTTGCTTTGTTTTCAGGATTGTATCTCTGCTCGTCTCGGTGACAAGTCGAGCCATGCTCCGGCACAGTTGGATCAGCCCCCTCCACCTGGCAGCAGAGCACAACAGACACACTGTAGCAGCTGTGCTACTGAAGACAGGTGCAGATGTAAACGCCACACTGCCCCACAGCCACTCCATCAAGTATGCCGATCGACGCACTACGGCCCTCTACTTTGCTATTGCTAACGGCAGCACCGAAACAGCAGAGGTGTTGCTTAATGCCGGTGCTAGTCTAAGCCTGGATCCAGTCAGCCCTCTGCTGATGGCTGTGCGTCAGGGTTGTGTCAGCACTGTGTCTTTACTGCTAGAAAGAGGAGCTGATTTAAATGCAAGCATCCCAACATGTACTACCACATTCCCAGCTCTTGTTGCACTTTGTCAGAATAATCTGCCTCTACTCAAGTGCCTTCTGGACAATGGCTGTGATGCGCTCTCCTGTTTTACGTGTGCTTATGGCAGTGCCCCTCACCCAGCTGCAGGACAATCCGATATAATAACTGCTGGCAGTAATGGATATGCTTTGCAGAATGGCAGCATGCTTCCTCTAAATTGCAATGAGCCTTCAGAGAGGATAACACAGGTATGCAAAAAGAGCAAAAAGTTGGTCATAACAAAAATATGCATGTTCTTTTTCAGTAATGTAACTTTATATGATTTTCTTCTTTAGTTCTGCGAGTGGATCTCAACGCCAGTAATGAGTAAATGGGCAGGGCCAATTATAGACTTGCTGCTAGAGTATGTTGGCCATGTTCAGCTGTGCAGCAAGCTCACTGAACTGCTGGACAGCCGTGAAGAATGGCACGTTGTCAAGAGGAAGTTGTGTAAGTATCAGATGGAAACATGTCTCTTTCACTCTTTTCTTTCATGTCCTCACACATCCGTTGAATGCAAATGTGGTCCACAAGGAAGCAAGCGACAAGCCTCTTCATCTTTCCTTTTTGTCTTGTCTTTAGTGTCACCATGTCCACTGCTGCACCTCTGTAGATTAAAGATTCGGACCCAGATGGGGGGACACAGACTGAGATCCATCACAAGCGTACCTCTGCCAAACAGACTGATTAGATACCTGAGCCACGTTGACTGACTTTAAAATGAACCTCACGCAATATAGTCCTCAGAGATAAGACTATATTTATCTTCTTGTGGTTCTTTTTTTAGTCGTGTCTGATATCTTGAATGTGTAAATGTTCCTCTCAAAGAAATTTTATGTGTATAAATATCTATTTATAATATATGTGAAGTGACAATAAGCCTCTTTAATCTGTCCTTCAAAATGTGTGTGTGTTTGTGTGTGTGCTTTCCCTTTGGAGAAAGCTTTAGCAAAAGGTAAAAATGATCTTGTGCCCAAAGGAGTTTTTAAGGGAAGTTGAATCATTTATTTAAAAATAAAAGTCATTGTTTCAAATGTGCCTATCAAACATTACTTTGACAAAGAAAGGCGATTCTCATACTTAAAAGAGGAAACTAAAACAGGATGTTTGGATTCATTCTATGACTTTTTTTGACTTAAAAAAGAACAATCATCCTCTGTAGACACCTAAAAGTAGAAACCTTTTTACCTTACTGTCAATTTTCAGGCATAAGACTGGCATGAAAGTGAAGATGATGAAATTATTCAGTGCAATTTAGTCCTTTAGATTTAAAAGACAAAAATAGATGAAGCATTTCAATAAGTGCTGGAGGAAGTATCTCGATTTAAAATGCTGAAAGAGAAACGCTGAAAGTCATTAGTCCTATTTACACGCGTTTTGTGTGATGGGTTCATTTAGTGAGTTAATTAAATGAATCCAAACACACTGAAGATTGGTGACTGAGCGGTGGGCTTGGTCGGTATGGGTTTGACAACAACGTGCGTGTGAATTTTCTGTCCATAAGGATGCTCGGATCTCTCCGTCTCAGTCCCTGCTGCTTTGCTCCACAATCCCAGGGGCGGATGAGGGACAAAAATGTGATTGTGAAGGATCTGGTGTCCGTGGTACTGGAAAGGGCAACAGCCGCACACACTCACGCAGTGGTGAGAGGTCACGTCCAGTTTCAGCGTCTCTTTATCCGCCGAGCTGCGCCGGCTGCACGCAGATATTGCGGTCTTTGCATCATCATCACAACTTCGTTTCCTCTTTTCATTCTCAGTCCCCTCCGATGTGCCTGCATGGCTCCTTTTCATTCCTAAATATGAGTGCTCCCTCTTGGTTGGGGTCAACTTAGGTTCCTCCCAAAATGAGGCCGGTAGCTGGCGTTTCCTCATAGGCACCTGCTCCACAGAGCTCCCCAGTTGATCCACATCCTGCGCACCAGAGCTGGCCTTTTCTGCCACACTCTGATGGACAGACCCCATCGGTTTGGCGCACCTATACTCCGCAGACCTGTGTGTGTGGCATCTTGGGACTCTGGAGTATTTTTGAGAGAAGCGCTTCAGTTGTTTCTGGAGATATTTCCGGTGATCCACGGAGCGCCTGCACGGAGCGGACTTATCTAGGGCCGCCTTGATGTCGCTGGATGCCAAATTTACAAAATTTAGTAAAGTTTTGACCTCACTGTCTGCATTTGCCATATTGTATCGAGGGTTTGTTCAGTCCATGTTAAAATATGCAATCCACCGTCAGGATCTAAAGAGAAATGAGAAACACACGAGTCACGCAATCAAGCCTCAAATGAGCGGGATGCTGGATATTAGAGATTAGTAACCTTTTACTCACCACTGCTGGATCAGTCCGGATTCTCTCAGTCTAACCTCAGACTTCTCCCAGGCTGCAGTATAGGAGCACTTCAACAAGTTGAATGAATATAAACTCCTTGTAGTTATGGTGCTTCCCTTGAACCAATCAGCGACCCCAGGCCTCTTACAATGCACCCCAATCAGCCTCCAAGCGCCCTGGTATCAAATTCTTCACCATCGCAAATTGTTGTCATGGAGATCTGGAGGGGGGAAAGCCGCTGAGGGGATGCAATATTTCTCCTACAAGATGATTTCTACTCCGAAAATGGTAAATGTGCGTTTAAAAAACTAGTGCGAATTCTTGTCGAGCATGCGTGCATTATAACCTGACATCAGAGCGGTTAAAGTTGAGTTTCTAACACATAAGCCCGTTATTCCCTCCCCAAGAGTGATGTCAGCTGTAGGATTTGGTGAGGGGTGGTGGGATCTGAAGAGTGCATAACCATGGAAAGGGTCTTGAAGGCTCAAGAATCTTGTCTTTCTGTTTGCCCCCTCAATCGAGCGACACAAAGGCTGAATTACTCATTCAAACCTCGCGGGACAAAGGGAAAGGAGCTGGATAGCACTCCTGCATTTGTAGTCAAACATTTAGAGACTTAAATCGAGTCGTCATGAAGGAGAAAGAGTCGGACAAAGCCCATAGAATTGCCATCAGCAAACATTTTCCTGTGTCATATTATGGGGTCTCCATGGCTCCCTCTGGCCCGCGGACAATAGCACAAGTTTGCACACTCGAATACTGTCACCCTGCCAACGGCAACAAGGGCCCAAAACAGGACAATCCCCAGAGAAAGCATGGGCTCGGCGGGGAAGGTTGCAATAGAGGAGGGAAATGGGACTTGTGAAATGCTAATTGAGCTTCATCCCCTTATTGAAGTGGAAAAAGAGTACCTATCGTTCCACTGAACCGCGGCAGCAGTGGAATGAGATGTGAGGGAACTGTTTGTCTGGTAACACCTCATGCCTCAAATCCTGACACAGCCCTATGCTATGGAGCCAGGAGAGAATTTTTTTAACTATCCGCAGTCTATATCGAGGCTACAGACCGTTTACTCGGTTAGCTGCGGGCCACATGATTAATTGCCTCATTCGCTTAGTTTGGGGTTGTGTGAGGAGAGCCCTGCTGCAGGTCTGTGTGCATCGGCCGGTCTATCTTTTTAACGGCGCATCCCTCTTGTTCTGAAGAGGCAGTGGGACTCTATTGTCCTCATCTCTTCTTCCTCCCTTCACCTCTCTGTTCAGCTGAAAAGGCCAATTAACAATGCGGTCCCCCCTCCCCATGGCCTGTCACCCCACTCCTGTGCTTTTGAAGTGAGGAAGAATGAGAAAGAGAAAGAGGAAGCATAGTGGCATCCATAAATACTGGGTGGTGGCTGAATTTATTTATTTATTTATTTATTATTTACAGAAGTTCTGAGTGGGAGGAAAACGAACCTCTTGGCACATTTATGTTCACTTTATACAGTTTATATGGGTGCAAAAGGTGTGGCATCAGTGTGTCTGCTGTCCATCATAGAAAAACAGAAACAAAGAGGTCGTTTTAACTCCTGCCAAAGATATACACCTAATTTGTATGTATTTGCTGCGCATGCAAACAAACCCAGAAAAAAACCTGCAGCCAAGACGTGTTATGTGCCTCTGTAACAAACTACAGAGCCATCATCATCTTTGCCATTTTTGCCTAAACCCAATAAGAAGAAGCCCAGAGCTCTAATACGTCTGTAATCTTGCTACCTCCATTGTGGAAGCTGCCCATCCCACATCCATTAGTGAAACTTATGGTAAGTATCTTACCTCTTGCCTTTGCTCAAAAATAACTACAATAAGATGACACTGTTTGATCTGCAAGGGAGAAAAAAGTGTAAAAGCAGCACAAAGCAAAGATCAGGCACAGAGACGGGGAAATTAAAAATAAAACTGTACCCATAGAACACAGCAGAATTTGCAAAATCATAAAGATTATATTTTTCTTTAACAGGGAATAGGAGCTACAGCTAAATGTAGAAGTACCAGTAGATACGGTCATTCATGTCCATGTGTGTGTCTAGAAAACTAGAAGCTTTTTCTTTTTTAAGATGTATCTATTTTCCCTTACTAAAGAGTTAGGAAAAAGCCACGCGCAGATGTAAAATAAGTAGTACACTGAAAAATACTGTCCAATAAGTCATCAACTGTATTCTGATATTCCTCAGAATTTATTTATCTTAAACATCATTCCAGTGGTATTGGAGTTGTTTTATCACAGTACAGGCTAATTTAAATAACAAACCTAAGCTTAATATCTCCACCAGCTCCAATAATAATGTGTCAATAAGCAACATAACCTCTGTTTAAAGTCATGTGTTGCCAGGTTTTTCCACTAGATGGCAATCTACCTTTACTATGATGCAGCCCAGCATGAATACAGCACACATCTAACGTTATACCTGCACACTGATATAACACAAGGACAAGTAATACAAGAAAACTACGAATAATACAAATAAAACCCGTTTAAGCTTATTTGATATAAACGTTTTCCTTCAATGACAGAGGGCTTGTGATTTTTGTCTTCTTATTTTTTCTTGTTCTGATAAAAACATTATGTTGGGGGTGCTCTTTGTTTAATACAGAGAGGCAGATTAAGTATCTTGGCAGGATGATAAGACTGAAAGACCACAGTAATTACATAGAGGTTTTCTTATCTGAGTTTTAAAGGCCTGTGATGTATGTTGTGGCAAATTGCTGCTTGTTGGAATGAGGTGAGGTAGCAGGAAGGAAACAGGAGGATGTAGTGCTTTTCTCTTGTCAGATAATCAATATTGGGACAGACTGTAGGGGAGATGGATGGACTGAACTGCTAGGCAGATCATATGCCAAATACAGGCTGGTTTTATCCTCCAAAAACTCTGAAAAATCTCTGCACTGCACTGCATTTTCAAATACAGCCTGACAGCAGCTATGGATTTTCCACTCTAAAAGTAATTCACGGCCCTTTGCATGAGCTCACTTCTTTATTGCCCGTGAAGAGCTTTTTTCGTAGGCACGACATGTGATAAATGCTCGGCTGCAACAACAAGGCTTTAAGGCTAGATGCTGAATCCACTGATCTTAATCCAAAGTTGTTTAAATACTCGGCTTAGATGTTATTTGGTATGAACAGGCTTTGACACAATTGGCTGTCACTTCTGTTATTTTAAACTGCAGGCAGTTCTCCCAAGCAAAAGACAAGTCACATGGGCGCCACGGTAGATTGGAGATTTATGAAACATGAATTAGCTATGAAAATCACACACAGGCTGGGAGGCAGGTTTGTGCACTGCACGAGCAAAGAAAGGTGGTTTTTAAAGAGTTGCAAAGATCTCTTGAGATTGCAAGAAGATGTGTGGGGATTATTCAAGTACTACAAAATGGTTTGTCACATAATGAGGTCTTTAAAATGTGAGACAGACCTCCTTTAAACAGCTGAAAATCCTGAGGGGTGAGAGGTTTGACCAGGCTACAGTCATTACATCATCTTCCAGCTCTGAAACTCTGATCAAGTAGGTAATGCATCAGCACTAGAGAACCAGCTGATCAATAAATCATTTAATGTGGTTAAAAAATGTATTAGCTCTGGCTCCCTAGTGACACCAAGAACACTCTGGATTTTATTCCTTACCTGTCAATCAGCTGTTACAACAAGTGAATGTCACGTTGGCTTTCTAGTACCGACTGAGGGCTCTGAGGTAATTTCATAACTGTCCCTAGTGAAGACCACCAACAATATTATGCAACTGAGCTCTTAAAAACTACCCACTGCATAGTCTGATTCTCTGCACTCTGCCCCGCAGCATCACTTCTTATAAACGACATCAGTGTGGGTCAAAGGTGTTGTGATGACAGCAATAATAACAAGAAGAAACTAATGTTTTACAATAAGCCCATTCGTATTTTTGAAACTGTTATAATTGACCGGGTTGTCGAGCATTAGCAGTAAATGCCAGGTTACATCAGTATTGTTTATCTCAGCCTACTTTGGGACACTGGACCAGAGAGTGTTCTCGCAGGCACACAGCACATCAAACACGGGCATGGCAGTGTTTTCAGTCGGTAGGCGTCTTGCACTCTCTCTCCCTAGCTTTCCACTTGACTTTAATTTGCTCTAGTACGCGTCATCTTTACAGACTCGCCTCCACGCATTGTGGGCTATACTTTCTGCCTGGGCCATTATTATTATTATTAAAAAAAAAAAAAAGGAAAAAAATCAAACACAGACATAAACAAGCAAACAAAGCAAAACAAACAAAGCCCAGCTGACATTACCGACGCCTTCACAACCACATGCCCTTCCCTCTTTGATTTTTGGGGGGACTTTTTAAGAAGCGGAAGGCGAATTTGTTTGAGCACACGTTGTCAGGATGAGCTGATGTGAGCGCTGCATCAAGTGCGCGGTGGTGATGCTCCCGTATAAAACAGCCCGCCGTATTTTGGCACAGAGGAGGATGCATCACTTTAACCCTCGGCTCTGCCCTCCGGACTCGCCCATACAGTGCTCAGCTTAGATAAGTTGAGAGGGGATGTGTGATGCCATTGCAAGGAATCCTACTACTCGATATTCCCGAGGATCTCTCTCGGTTCGTTTTTTCCTTCAACTTCGATGGCTTGAGTGGTCCATTTGCGCTCATGCTTGCAGCCGAGGAGGGATGTAAGGTACGGGCATCTACCGCCCTCACATTGCACGGAGTAGCGGCGTGATTCAGGTCGCTATCTGAGTGCCAGAAAGCAAAAAACTACTTTCGAGATGTGAATTATCGAGATTTGCCACTCATTCCACCGGCTCGCCTGTCCTATGCTATCGACAACGGGATTTCAAGA